CTGTAATCCCAGCTCTTCAGAGGCTACAAACAGGAGGATTACTTCAAGTCCCATCTAGTAGCGAAACCCTGAACACCCTGTAGACCCTTCCCCCCACCCCCCCAAAAAAAAGATGCTAGTCTTGCCACCTCTTCTTGGCAACCATACCTTTTTCCACTTATTTGAGGTGAGCAAAAGAGTGGCTTTGTGTGTCCTGGGGACAGTAGTGTAGCTGCTTTCACGGGTGCTACCTGAGACTTGATTGATGGCTTGGCATCATCACTGGTGTTAGGGAGCTTCATATGGGGTTTGTTTTTTTATGTAGATTGTACCCTAGTGTTGCCATGCTAAAAGGGCTTTGGAGTACTGTTTTAAATTTAAGGACCAGAGTGGCATTTCTGAAAATATTACATGGCAGGTGTCCCCCTAGCTAGAATTCTAGCAGCAAACAGGAATGCTCAGTCCTGAAAGCCACTGAACAGTCCTGACTGTGTCTGTCTGGCAGGGAACACTGTCCCTTTGCCAGGGATTTTGTTCTCTGTGTATCTGAATTATACTTTTTTTTTTTTTTAATTATTATACTGGGGATTGAACTCAGGACCTTGCACTTGCTAAACAGGCACTTCAGCCACTGACCTACTTCCCCAGCCCTGAATTAGAGCCTCCGGGGTGCAGTGGATCTTGAATGGGAAGCACATGAGACTGCTTCCTGGTGTGCATTTGTCTACTGCTATTAGCAGGCTGGGGAAACATAGGCAACCATTCACCCCTCATAAGTCCTTGGATTACCTCGTGGGAGAGGAAGAAACCTCTGGACTAGGAGCCAGCAAACCTGCATTGCATGTGCTTCTTCTCTCCTAGGTCTTAGTTTCATTTCTTCATGAAGGAAATTGGACTAGATATTGCTCAAGGTCGCCTGCCTTACTTTTGAGGACACAGACGTGTCAGAGGAAGAGTGGCACAGACACAAACATATTTTTCTTCCTTTTGGTTCATAAAGTGTCTTTAAATCACACCTCATAGTTCATATATACAAAGCTCTGATTAAGGTTAAAACCCATTTGAGAAACAAGAGTATAACTGAGGGGATATTCCAAGATTAATATAAATGTAAGATTATGTTTATAGACATTTGACAGGGTTGGTTGTTCTGGGTAAATTTAGCTTTCTAGGATTTAAACCTGCTGTCAGTTCTTTTCCCTCATTTGATCTTAACTTTCTGGGCTCAAATGATTCTCCTACTTAAGCTTCCAACATACTAAGACTGTAGATCCATCAAGTTTTATAAAAATTGTCCAGAAGGACCTCTCTGCTGCTGTTTTCATGGCTGCCTCGACATATTCACATAGATGTTTTTGTAGCATGTGCAGCATCAGTTATCAACTCCCTAGCCTTCATGAGGTTACCACCACGTCAGCCAGGATGAGGGGATGTGAGACCCCAAAAGAAATGGGGGTCTCTAATGCTGTGACCACATTGCTTTGGTCACAGCATTAGAGATAAGATGGAACAAGAAAACCTAACAAGCTCAGATGCACAGGGGCAGGGGGCCCAGCAGTCTATCTTGCAATGTGCACTCGGCTCTTTGTATGATCAGCTTTCACCGGCTTCTTTGAAAAAAAATTAAAGTGTTAATTTATTTACTTGGTACAGGGTCTCTCTACGTCATGCATACTCATAGAGATCCTCCTGTCTCAGCTTCCCCAGAGCTGGGATTATAGGTATGTGCCACCACTCCCAGTTTCAGTGTCTGGTACAGCACAGCAAGTGGTACTGGGAATGGAACTCAGGTCCTTGAGCTTGCCAGGCAGGTACTTAGACCGTCAAGCTATCTACCCAGCCCTGGCTTCTGAGCTACAGGTCTACTTGTTGTTCACAGACCCCTCCACTGTGCCTCCAGCTCCCTACAGTTGTGGCCTTTGCTGAGAAACTGTCAGTGATGTTAAGTCATGCATCTTTGTCTAGCACACTATTTAAAGTTTTACTCTCTGGGCCAGGGATGTAGCTCAGGGGCATAACAGGCAAGCTCAAGGTCCTGAGTTTGATCTCTGGTACAAAAAATAAACAAAATAATTTGACCTTCTACCAGAGGAGCTAGTAGGCAGAACAGTGTAGAAGGAAGAAAACCTTTACAATATTCACACTGCAACCTACATGAAAGTTACTTACCGTGTGTGTGTGTGTGTGTGTGTGTGTGTGTGTGTGTGTGTTATGAAGTTTGAACCTAGGACCTTTACACTGAACTACTCTCCCAGTCACTCCACTTTTTATTTTTTATTTTGAGATAGAATCTCATAAAGTTTCTGTAATGCCTGAGGTGGACTCTTAACTTCAGACTTTCCTGCCTCAGGCTTCCAGCGTACAGGGATCACAGGCATGCACCACTGCAGCTGGCTTTACCTCTATTGTTTCCTTAATTCAAAACTAACTTCCTCTCTTAAAAAAAAAAAAAAAAAAAACCTGCTTAAACAAAAAGCATCCAAAAAATTTAAGACCATTCAGTGGATATGGGTGAAGTATTTGAATGCCCTTTGCATCTTTTTTCTGTCACATTTTCATTTTTTTATAATCAGAAAAAAAACCATTTAAAGTTTTTATCCATGTGCAAAACTGAAAATGGCTGTCACACAGAACACTGTACGATGTTAAAAGGATCCTGTGGTCTAGTTTGTGGTATGGAGCTATCTGTGGGGATCGCATCCTCACCTGCTAGTAGAGAAGTGGAGGATGCCAAGCATGAGGACCCTTTCCCACTGACACAGGTGACAATCTACAGAACTTACCTAGTGTCACAGAGATGATGTCGAGCCCACATTTTTTTTTCATGTAGGGTTTCATGAATAAATTCGTCATAATTGGAAGGAAAACATACTTTCATGTTTCATATTGCTATCTATGAGAAGGGTCATTGCAATTGTGACATGCTCAAGGCGGAGAACAACTGGTTTGTTCCCCTTCCTTGGGGCAGACTGTCATGGGGAGAAGTGGAGAGATATCTGTGAATGTTTCTGGGGAGCTGGGGCTTGAAGGTGCACTGGGCACGAAGCCCCACCCTCTCCACCTTGGCAGGGGTCCATTGCAGACCCTGGGCTAGTGACTGCTCCACGTCTCCCCAAGTGGCCCATTTCATGACACCAGTGAGGATACCTCCAGCATTCTCTGTCAGCATTTCCCCTGGTCCTCACCCTTCTTCAGCAGTGAGAGGGGAGTTGTTAAGCAGGAAGTGTATCTGGCTCACACAATTGTGTCTTCGCCCCCACTCGTGAAGCTCAGAGCACTTTAGCCCTCTGTGTTTAGTCCTCCTCACCACAGGGTATGTGGCTTGTCTTCTCTCAGGGCTTGCTTTAATTAAGGGACACATCACAGTGTGTGATGCTAAAGGGGAAATCCTCAGTTGACAGTTCAGAGGCTGAGAGACGAACACAGACGTGGAAGGGAATGAGTGTCCATCTCTCTCCATCATACTTGAAACAGAATAGTCTCAAATGTTGTGGTGTTCGTGCTGAGAAATCATCACGTAAACCTTCTATCTGAAAATCAAAGTGACCTTTTCTGAGCAACCTCAGCTCTACAGGAGAAGGCAAGTATTGCCAGATTGCCTGACATATCCTTTTTTAAATTTCAAGCATTCCTGATTTCAAATCAGCTATTGATCTGTTGATTTTCAGCCTTGATGGAATTAAGCAAAGTCAGATTTACTGCTGTTAGAGTCTGTCATACACAGCTGCTATGAGCCCTTCCTTCTTAGCTCTCTCCCCATTTCTACTGTCCCCATGCCAGCACCCCATCAACCAACAGACAGAACAGAGAGGCAGGTTGCATAAAAGGGCATCTTTCTAAACCTGAAATGAAAATCTTCAAAGCTGAGTTGTATACTATTGTAGTGTCCATCTTTAAAGATCACATTTATTTGCTTTTTTCCTACTCTAAATCCTTCTTGGCAGAAGCAACAGAAAGCTTATAGGCTTTATAACGAGAGAGCATTTGCTCTGATTCCATGGCTTATCCACATGTAATGTGAACTGCAGTAGGGACTGTTTTCAGCCTAATTGGACTCTGAAAGCAGATATGAAGTGTGTCAGAGGGGTCGCAGGCTGCAACTTGCTGCTCGAGTATCAGTGTATTCAGTGGGTTTTGTGAGCAGGCCCTCTTTGCTTGAAGAGCCACAGAAGGCACCTGCTGTGGGGCAGGAGCACCTGCCTTTTGAAGCCAAGTCTGCAGACTGCACAACTGATCAGGCTGAGAGGAGTACACACTGTCCCTGTCACTCTGCCTACTCCAGTTCACCTGAGAGGTGGTTGGTAAGGATGTATGGATGGATAGTGGATTTGTCTTTGTGCAGCATCATGTGTTGGAACTCTCATGCTGCTCCTCAGAGAGGCTCTGTGAACACACAGGAAGCCTCTGTCTAGCCCATCTGGACTGTGGGGTGGGGGAATGAGGAAGAAAGGACTCGCAAGAAGATGAACAGGCTAAGTCTAAGACAGACAATCTAGAAACAAAAAATAAGTAGCCTGCATTCTATTTCTTAATTTTCAGCTCCTGTCTGTTTTGCTGACAGTGATTTGAGAGACTGAATTTAAAAAAAAATTAAATCTGGTCGCCCTAGCCAACTTTTATATTTTGCAGAAGTAAAGTTGACTTTGTTCCGCTTTGTCCTTGTATCTGAAGTAAACAGGCCCTCACCAGCTCTCAATGTCATTTTTCGTGAGCAACTCAGGAAAAACCTGTGGTGTAAGGAGTTTGCTCTCTAGTCTGATTTTGCCATCCAAAATTAGATTTCTCTGTCCCTGCATAACCGTTTTCCCTGTTGTACATAAGGTGACCATATTACCCAGCTTGCCTCTGGCACCTGATTTATATCCATTGTCCCCTGAGATTAATGCACGTTCTCAAAGCTGTCCCATATTGGATGGCACATTTTATACATGGCTGCACTAATTACAGAGATGGAAGGGGAGGAAATTATTTTGGGCTGAACTGTCTAACCTCCTGCACTTTTTTTTTTTTTCGTCCCTCAGCTCCATCTGGCAGCCCTGGCATCTCTCAAGGGAGATATAGTGGAGCTTAATAAACGCCTGCAGCAGACCGAGCGGGAGCGAGACCTTCTAGAGAAGAAATTGGCCAAGGCCCAGGTAAGGGATCTGTAAAATTTTGTTTTAATTTGTTTGTTTGTTTAAAAAGAAGAGAATATACATATACATTCCCACAAAACAAAGTCTGGCTTAATGAGCAAGTGGTCTTAGTTTTGGAGGGATGATATATCAAGCAGCAGACAGTGTGGTGGCACACACCTTCAATCTCAGCACTGGGGAGACTGAGGCAGGAGAATCTCTGTGAGTTCCAAGCCAGTCTGGGCTGCATAGAGAGACCCTGTCACAAAACAAGATGAGAAACAAAACAAAACAAGAGAAAATAAAACATGATAGGGTGCCATCAGCCACTACAGCAAGCGTGTATCTCCCAGAGCCCTAAAGGCTGGAAGTCAAGGTGCTCACCAGCGCTGCCCCTGGAGAGGCTGTACACATGCTTTACAGACACCAGCTCCTCACTATGGCCTCATGTAGGAGAGAGCACAACTGTGCCTCCCTAGTTTCCTTTAAAAAAAATTAAATTTTTTATTACATGTTTGCTTTACATATCTATATTTGTCATGGAAAGTTGGTGCGTATACACATCTTAATTATTCTCTTCCTTCCCATTTCCTCCTTTTTTCCTCCATCGTTTGGCCTTTTTCCCATCTGCAGAGTATCCATCTCCCTAATGCCCATCGTCTGTCTTTTATTTTCCTCTTTTAAAAGGGAACTAATCCTACTTCCAAGGGCTACACCTTCATGCCCCAGTCACCTCTCAACAGCCCTACCTCCTGCCCTAATGCCACCACAATGGGTAAACCAAAGAGTCTGGGAAAGTATAAACACTCATGAAGCACATTTGTACCCCTGCCCAAGGTAAGAAGCAGAACTTGTCTCTCCTCCAAGACGGCCCTCCTGCGTCCTGTCCCAGATTCCACATTTCCCTCCCACAGAGGTAACCACTAAGATATTTACAGTAATATTTCTTGCATCTTTACATGTTATCACTTGTGTTTGCATTCCTAGACAGTAGAGCTTAGTCTTGCCCACTTAAAAACAAGGTGTTTGGGAGCCAGGGATATAGTTCATTGATACAGTGCCTGTTAGGCAAACACAAGATCCTGAGTTTGATTCCCAAACCAAATCTAAGAATCAAACTCCTGATGGATTACAAAAAACACTCCAAAACAAAAACAAACAAACAAAAAAAACCACCTAGATGTTTATTTGTATTTTATTTATTTTTTTATTCATTTGATGTTTCCTTTAAATCTTTTAATCTACAAGTTTTTCGTACACTTTCTGTTAGCTTTTTAATTTATCTGTTAAAACTCGCTGTACCGTTTTCCACAATCCAGATATTGCTGATTGTACACTTGTGGGATTCAACATGTCTTTGTGCATCTCTTGCAAACTGACAGTTGAATCCTGAGGCACAGTCAGCTTTTTATCTAATCCCTTTGGCAAACTCTAAAAAATTGTTTTCTTTTCTTTTATTAATTTTATTGAGAAACAAATAGCAATGAGACAGCTTCAAAACCAATTAATAGGACAGTTTCAATTATTAGTACATTGCATACTGTTGTCTGTGTAAAAAAATTGTTTTCAACAGCGGGCCTATAGTACCTGGTTGTTTATCTTTCTGTGATGCTAGCAGCTGTTAATGCTTATTACCTAAATTCATTATTTTGTCATGGCTTACAAAATCACCTTTACTTCTCCCATTTCTGTTACTAGTAAGAGTCTTTTTATACAGACAGTTTCTGTCATCTACTGTTTGTTGAAACAATATATAGTTCATGGAGAAAAATCAAGCCCAGACCCTCCAATCTTTCCTTTTACTTAATCTTTTTCAAAATGATGAATTGATTGACTATCATCCCATGAAAGTACCCACTTATTTTTTTTTAATATTATGCTTCTTTCTTTCTTTTTTTTTTTTTAATGTATCTGGTACAGGCTCTTACTGTAGTGATCTTTCTATTTTCATCTCCCCAGTGCTGGTATTATAGGCATGTGCCACCACACCCTGTCTCGGTGGCCAGCTCTGCATGCCTGGGGGTGGGGCCAGCATGGCACGTAGGGCCAGGAATTTTTTTAATATTATGAATTGATGTATTTTAATATATTTGGATTTCAAACCATTATAATTGTTTTCCTTACAGAAGCTCAAAATATACTGTTATTAGTGAGAGGCTCTTCAAGTTGGCTCGTAAGTCTTATGGCCTGAACTGATTAGTTATTGCAGGCTCCTTGCATATATTCCTTGCCCCAAACCTAGAGTTTATCATTCTCCAAGTAGCCACAGTTTTCCTTGGCAGGAAGTGACATTTTCAAGACCACTGACTACTTACTAAATACTAAAGGTACTTATTTTTTCTTGGTGGTCCATTGTATGTAGGTCTCTTTTGTAAACAGAGCAAAGAAGTTATTTAGTAACTCATATATAAAGGTACAATAAGTGTTACAAAATTTTAAGGATGTATATGCATGCCTTATGAATTCATACTAATGAATACCTCCAGCGCAAATTGAGACTACTGCATATTTTTGCTGAATGTCTGCATTTATATTTCCTTTCACACTAAAATTTGTTGAGGTTATAGGGGAAGATAGAATTAGAATATTCCATAAGCATTCTTTTGTTTCATCCTATGTTATATTCAGACAGTCTCAGAATAATAACATTAGTGACACTATAACCACTGTAGTAACTGAGAACTTAACTTTTGTTGCGTTCTCATTTTCTGAACTTTTTGCAATAGAGCTATGTTGATCCCACCTGGTCATATGACCACTGATTCTTATTTAGTATTTTACAAGTGTTGATAGATTTGATGATCACCAGCATTCTTATGTCAGTATCTATTTTAAATGCAATATGTGTTTGTTTTGCCTGAAGCTTATTTTCTAGGTTGTTACAAGTAAACTTATGGGAATAAGGTCCCAACATTCTTGCTGATTAATAACATTGTATCTGTTCCTTTTATACTTGAAGAGCATTTTGCTCCATGTAAAGTTCTTGGCTCATGTTTTCTCTCCTTGAATTTGTTGTTTCATTGACTTTTGGCGTTGACTGTAGCTATCAAAGTCTGATAACTCTTTTACCCTTTCATGATACATGCTCCCTCTAAATATCCAGAGGATATCTTTCCTTTCTCCCTTGGTCTTTTCCTTCCATCATCCATTCCTCCCAGCTTCCCTTTCTCCCTACCTCTTTCCCTTTCTCCCTCTTCCTTCCTTAGTCTCATAATTTTACTACAGCAAGTCTTAATTATTCTAATTATGGTAGCCCTGGTATTTTCAGGTTTGTTTTGTATTCTCTGATTATTACAATCATCTTATTTCAGGATTTTTTTAAAAACTACATTGCTTGATATTGGTTTTATTCTTTGTGGTTTTCTTTTCCTTCAACTTTTATTACTTTGTTTTGCCATACATATCATATTCCTTTCGAGGAGTTGGTACACGCACATCACACATCTTGATCTTTGTTTTTTGGTTTTTTTTTTCTTTCTTTCTTTCTTTCTTTCTTTTTTTTTAACACCCTTTTCTCCTCTCCTTCCCTTCCTCTCCATCTTTTGGTCCCTTCACATTGGCAAAAGATCACTCTCCCTAGATGCTTGTTATTTGTCAGATTATCTTTGTCTTTAACGTGTCACTATCTCAAATCCTTTATATTCCTCTGTCTTAAAATTTAATGTTTTCTCTGTTCTCCATGTTTCTCTTGGGGATGTTATATGTTTCTTTTGTGCTTTCTAGTTTAATACTCATTTCTAACATGAATTTTTATCTTTTGATTCTTTGTTTTTCTTCTGTATTTTGGAGAAGGGTCTACAGGGTGTTCAGGGTCTCACTATAAAGGATTCTCCTGTTTATAGCCTCCCAAATGCTGGGATTACAGGTGCGTGCCACCAGCCCAGTTTCAATTGCTGTCTCAGCATGCCCTGGGGTGGGGGTGGGGCTGGGGACTGGGGGGGGCAGCATGGCAGGCCCAGGGATTGAACCCTTGGCCCCTGTGCCTGCTTGCAGACACTTTAATCCACTGAGCTATTTGGCCGGCCCTGTTTTTTTAGTCTTTTCTGTGTTCTGTTACCTCACTTCTGAATTTTTCGAATGCTCTTTTGATTATGCTTCATGTAATTTCCTTAAAGTCTCTAAGATAATAGGCTGTTTTTGTATTTTAATTATTATTCTGTTTGAGATTTTACAGCATGCTTTCATGGTTTATAAGGATGTTATTCTGCTGCCTGTATTACATGGAATGGGATTTTACTTCAATACTTTTTTTTAATGTGAAAAATAACTATTTGAGGCTTTTGGAGATGGGAATTAAGAAGACTTTTTTTCCCCAGATCAGAGGACTTGCTTAGCCTTACGTTTTCTTGAAATAAAAAGTATGGCCGCTTGCTTTCTGATGCTTCCTGGCTCTTTCTTTTGCCTGTTTTTATTTGGACTTTGCTGCTTTTGTTTCTTTTATTTCTAGCTTTCTTGGTCTTGGTTCTGCTTGTGAAAGGGAGCCCTGTGGCCATTATTTACAGTTCCTGGGGCTTGTGACTTGAGCTTCGTACTGTAGACCCTTGCGAGCTCTCACACAGTCTTAAAGACATGTATCAGCCACATGGCTCTAGCTGCTGTTCTCCAATTATTCTCCTCACTTATCCATGAACATCATTTGGTTGTCTTGGAGCTTTCCAGATTCATCGACCTTATTTCCCTTTGATTCTGCCTTACAGACACTGCACAGATCCATGGATAGTTTTGGTTTATCCTTACTTCCTTATACTTTGTAATTCAAGGGAATACCTTGTCTCCATGCTGTTGTTTTTTCTATGTCATTTGAGAATTGAGAAAACTTAAAAACAGGCTGGGGCTGCAGAGGTAGCTCGACGATCTAAATGCCCGCTTGGTAAGTGCATGGTCCCTGGTTCAATCCCTGGTACCACATGCCATGCCAGCCCCAGAACCCTGGGCACACCATGCTGGCCACTGAAACCAGGCATGGTGGAGCATGCCTGTAATCCCAGTGCTGGAGAAACTGAGAAAGGAGGATCAATATG